GTAGGGAAGAAAAATTTGTATTTTTACAAGAACTTCAATCTGGAGGTCTCCTGATGCCAGTATAAAAATTCCAAAAACTACTAAAGAGGACAATCTTCTAACTCAACAAGCATTACATTTAACACATGGCAATATAAACTGGATCCCATCACAGCAGATAAAAAAGAAATTATTACGTAAGTACAAATTAGCATCTGCTTTTACACAACTGTAAAACAAGACTCACTTGTTGTTTATAAACAGTATCAAATAAGAACCATCACCAGACATGCCTATTACTTCAAAAGGATGAATTTTACATAACTGAAGGCAAATATGAGCCTGAGTATTTTGGCATGTTGGGAATAATAATAATAAAAAATAAATAAATAAAAGAAGTGAATGATTGCACTATTTAAGGTTATTTTACTCGATACCCTTCAAAAATGTAATCCTATATCTAAAAAGAATGCCAAAGTAGTTAGAAAAGCAACCTCATTTAGAAATTGAAACTGAAATCAGCTGTAAGATTTGAATAATGATTAAAAGAAAGGAACGTTTAAAGCATTTATTGAACATAACAGTATCAAGAATTTGAAAACACTGAAATAATAAGATAAAGGTGTGCATGTGTGTGCATGACCAACTAAATAAGGATAGTATGGGTAAGTTATTTAAAGATAATTAGGAACAAAAAGCATTCTAATAATGTTTTGTTATTTGATAGAAATGGTAGAATTGCCATTCTTAACACATCTTAAAAATATAGAGTGCATTCAGTTCTGAACTTGTACTTCATAAGCCATTGATGATATTGTTGAAGAGTTTCATTAGCTGAGAAGTAGGTCACATAGCACCTACTGAACACACACATTTTTAAATCAGATAACTTGCAGTGAGAGTTGTAAAAAAGCTGACTGAGAAACACCTTGGATGCTTAGTGTTATTTTACAGTAGCTCCTACAACTCCAAGGAAGCAGAATATTTTAGTCAGTCACAGACTTACTTACTGCTATGTTTGGTCATAAAAAAGGATAGATTAAAAAAGAAGATAAAAGATAAAGAAAAGATAGATAGATTCAAATAACAATTAGATGGGTTATAATTCCTCTACCCTGGACCCTGCTGTGTCTCCTATTAGAAAACTTTATACCACTGTGGTGTCCCTTCGAGGATGCTGTTAAATAGCAGAGGTTTTAGGAGAAGCAGAAGAGACTTATAAAAAGATTAGAAAACATATAAAGAGCCTGAAGGAGTTTCATCTGCTTATTATTTACAAAAGAATATGCCAAGAAGTTAAGGAACATGTTAAGTCATGATCTGCAGGAATATGCACAGAACACCACAGTGGCAATTAGAACTTCAACCCATCAACGTAAAATGCAGCAACATCCTATGCTCAAGACTGAAACTCAACATACTCAATCTAGAAATAGAGTTAGCATTGTAAAAGCTACATTCAAACGTTAAAATTAGATAATTTTCTGAAATACGTCTTTAGTTCAAACAGTAATTAATTCACAGGACTCTGTTACCTACAGAGAACAATATTCCGTTCTGACCATTATGAATCAGTAAATAATTCCTAACAACAGGAAAACAGAATTTCTTCTTTTATTCATATGATACTTACTTCGGCATGTTTTCCCATCTTGCCTCAGTACAAATCCATCATGGCACTGGCAAGTGTATGAATCGTCATTATTAACACAAAGGTGTTCACAGCCATGACTGACTGATTTGCAGATGTCCTTATCTAGGAATAATTTAGATTTTATTTACTACAGTTTGATGAATGAGAAAATTTCCGATACTTTAAAGACTAAAAGTAATAAACTCCTAGTAAACAAAGAAGTTATCCTCCTTTTTTGTCAGGCAAAATCCCCTATAAAAAGACCTACCTCTAACACAATGTGTTTCTTGAGTAGACCTCAGAGTGCAAAAAATAGAGTATCATAAAATATCTTACTTTTACATGTTTTCTTATCTTCCCTCAGTACAAAACCCTCATAGCACTGGCAAATGTATGAACCATCAGTATTCACGCAAACATGCTCACAGCCATGGTCAACAGAATTGCAAACATCTTTATCTGGAAAAAAATACAAGGTTTCCAGCACTTAAAACATGTCTATGAATGCAAAGATTAAAAAGTAAATATTACATTAAAGACAAGGATACTTACTTCTACATGTTTTTCCATCTTCCTTTAGCGCAAATCCCTCATAACACTGGCAGACGTATGACTCACCAGCATTAATACAAACATGTTCACAGCCATGGTCAACTGAACTGCAAATGTCTTTATCTGAGAACAGTTGATGATATTTGGTTAAAGCACATCTACAGCCAATGAACCATGCAGGGAGAAGTAATAGCTTTTATTAGGTCTACTGATAGCACTGGAAGAAATAGGCAAAAATTTAGGCAGCAAACTCCTACAACTCTATATATTATTTGTATAATATAGGTATTTGAGTCTTTTTTGTTTCCAACAGCATCACTTTGGCTATTAAAATATACTATTTCTGTCTGCAGAGTCTCTCATATGCTTCTGGTGTGTATAATAATACTACTCCTATATTATAACAGTAAACTGTTGTTGCATGTGTTAGAACACTTCCACAAATCTCCATACCATAAAATCTATGAGTAATTATCAGAGTACTTACTTCTGCATGTTTTCCCATCTTCTCTCAGCAGAAAACCTTCATGACACTTGCAAACATACGAGTCATCTTCATTAACACAAATATGCTCACAGCCATGGCTGACTGATCTGCAGATGTCCCGTCCTGGGAATTATTGATACAAATAAAGGTTTTGAATGAAAACATGTTAAAAAAAATGTAGGAAAAAAAAAAAGGAAGGTTTTTTTTCTCAGTAAAAGGTGGAAAAAAAACCACCCCACAGTTTTTTCCTTGCCAGATGCACATGCAAAAATGTTCAGTAAATACTGGTCACTCACTTCTGCATGTCTTGCCATCCTCTCTCAATATGAATCCCTCACGACACTTGCAGATGTAGGAATTATCAGTACTGACACAAATATGCTCACAGCCATGGTTGACTGATTTGCAGACATTTTTACCTGGACATAATTTAATAGATTAAAAAAATGCGTTAGTAAAATTTAAGGGCAACACGGTCTAAATCCTACAATTCCCAGCTACTAAATGTTCTTGTCCTTGCTAATATACTGGACTCAATCCTGAAGATGATTTACAGCACCTGATGTCTTTTTTTTTTGTGTTATTGTAACAAAAAGGTACATCTTTGTCCTCTAATTCTACAACCTTACTGTTAAGGAAAAGTGCTCTGTTACAGGCCTAGAGTTTGTAGAATTTCACATATCCCCAGCATGACCCACGGGGATTTCCAAAGGCACCTAAATCCCACATCCACATTTTAAGTAAACTTTCTAGTGAGAAACAGATCTTTCTATCTTTTTATCTTCAGTACTGAACCTGCTCAAACCTGAAATAGTTATGCTTGTTTTCTCTGTGCTTAAGTTCAGAAGGTGTTTGTCATCTTTCTGTAAAGGAGGATTACAAAATTTTGGTGTATGTAGCAATCAAGGCTAGTGAGAAAGTCAAATTATATGATCCTATTGTGAAATTCTGGGAAATTGTCAGCTATGACTGGGCAAGCAGATGTTTAGTTCTGATACAGAATTTAGATACAATTCATATTTCAAAATAAATTAAAATAACAATAAATTAATTAACATAAGATAAACTAACATCTTGCTTTCACTTTCTTCCCCAGACCCTTTATTTTCCTGCAAGGATAGAATAGAACAGAACAGTTTAGTTACAGCTGGAAGGGATGTAGAATGATCATCTGGTCCAACTGCCTGACCAATTCAGTGCTGACCAAAAGTTAAAGCATGGTATTAAGGGCATTGCCCAAATGCCATTCAACCTCTGACAGGCTCAGGGCATCAATCACCTCTCTAGAAAACCTGCTCCCATTCGTCCCATAAATCATAACCCAGTGCTCCAGTCTGTCTAGATCCCTCTGGACTTCTGTATGGACAGAACATTTCACTTGCTTTTAGAGTGTCAGTACTTTCTGAGTCAAGCAGAATTTGTTTCTGCAGTATGGTGGTGTTATTGTACACAAACTGTGAATAAGGAGCTTTTCATTTATTGTGGTACTATCTGGATGGCCTTTTTTTTCCTGTAAATGTTTTTTTAACAGCAGATGTTGATAAGATCTATGGATATTATTGGGATTACAGTTACAAAATACTTAATGCCTGTGTGTTTTTCAGAGATTTATCCATGATTCTTCTTTGATCACTTAGTGATCAAAGCTATAAAAATTGAGGAAAATTTGCAATGAATTTTTTCTTGATATCTGCCACTCATCATAACTGCATAATGTAGTCAAATATGTGATGTAATTATGATCTATCTTTTGCAATCATCCTTATCCCATGCTGGATGAAATGTACTTTCCATTAATAATATTGCAAGCTTCATGCTATATAAGACTTTATAAACATTATATATTTTTGCCTTGTTTTGAGAAGAAAATTACAGTTGTCTTATATCAGATGTAAGTCAGAATAAAGTAGTTTTGGATCCATAACAATCCAATTTCAGGGCTATATTTTAAATGGCACAAACATTTAGGGTATCATTCAGGTCCCTGATACTAGATACATAGAAGTATGTATCTAGTATCACTTTAGATGCTTTAGCATATCCAAGGTACAGATATACTACTGGTAAATATGATGCCAAATAGGAAACTATGAACTTTTGGAATCCTTGAGCATTTAAAATGACACTGGACAGCAACATCTAAGCAATTAAATCTTACCTTACAGATTTCTTCTATGTGTGTAATAAAAATCTAACTCTGAGTTGCTGAATGATAACTTACGTTTACATGTTTTTCCATCGTTACGAAGCCTGTATCCTTCAAAACACTGACAAGTGTAAGATCTGTCACCATTTACACACAAATGTTCACAGCCATGATCATTCAGAGCACAATGGTCAACTCCTGTAGGAGCAAATGAAGTTACTAAAAAAACCTCACAAATAAGGAATCAATTATTATTTCATCTCTAGTATTTGAATGGCATATAAGCAAGTAAGTATAAATATACTGAACTGCTTAAATAACCATCCAGTTTCTTATTTGATAATATACATACAGCTTCAACAAAATAGAAGAGGGCCTTGTGGTGTACTTCCCATCGGTTACTTTAAGCACAGTTGAGAAGTCATACTTTCCTGTGTGTAACGTGGCTCAACAGAGTCCGTATCTTAGTACTTAAAAATGGAATTAAAAAAAGAACAAAGCAAAACACTTTAGCTGTGATTTTATATAAGACAGTGACAAACAGTCTTGTGAACATTCTTCTTTAAATACAAACTCTAAGTGGCCCACTGTGAAGATGGCAGTCCCCAGAACTCACTTGTGCACATGACCCAGCTGCCATGGCAGCAAGCAGAAAACCTCAGTGGGCTTTGGCTTAGACTAGTCAAGTTTTGCAAAGAATTGCAAGTGACAAGTCCTGTCAAATACAGTCTGTTTTTCACCTCAAATTTCTTCTCTGTAATACACAGGACTCCCGGGATCCTGCAGGCAGCACTTGCTATTGTCCTTGAATACACACACAGTGTCACTCCTTTTTTTGTGATTAGCTGCCACAGTACAGATCTGTTTACCATTCAGGTGATCCCTCTTGTGCCTGTGTATGACACCAGAATTGTAATTCCCAGATGTTTTCTTATTAGGAGTGGTATATGTTAAATGCTAATCCGTTCTATTCAGCTGCTCATTTAGGAAATCCCTAAATGCCCAAACTCTTTTCATGATAGCCTAAAAACGGACATGAAGTTTCAACAACTCATCTGGAGCTCAGAAATACGACAAATCTCTTTCCTAAATACACATGAGGAGAGGGGTAAGTTGGCAAGAAGAGGAGCTATTCAAAAGAGCTCAGTTTCATGGCACAGAAAGATTCCAGAAGCCACAGCACTGTTCTGGTGCTGCTGAAAGGTCTCTGAGTACTGCCTGGAGGAAAATAACTGAGGAGTGAAAAACCCATCTCTTTTTACTATAAAGGAAATGGGATTTTCCATTTGCAAGTTGATAAAACTCCGTACTTTGTCTGATTCTAAATTTCCAGTGGATCTTTAAGATAACTGTCTAGATAAATTGTTTCTAGTAGACCCTGTTGTTACAGGTACACTAGTTCTCCTTTTGCATTACCATCTGCGCCTTTCTATGGAGCTGCAGTGGCAGGAAGAAGCAAAATTTGTCATGGTATTAGATGGTCTAAAAAGGCTGCTATGGAGGCAAAGACAAGGTTAAAGACAAAAAGAAACTGCCATTCCTGATTTGCCTCACTTCTTGCTAAATGAGTTTTGCAACTGAGCACTTGCAATTTGACTTCTGTTAAAACTGTGTTGCTTGAGTGCAAGAGAAAGAGCAAACTATGGAGCTGCTCCAACACTCACCAAGCTTGAAAAATACCGTACCTCTAAAATCTATAGAAAAAATGGCCAAAACCCTCTCATCGAAGAGAAGAAAAGCCAACAGGCAAAATGTATTAGCATTCCTCTGTTCTTGGCCCTTTCTATATGTTATTTTTCCAGTGAAGGAGGCAATTCAGCTATTTGTGAAACTGCAATGATTCTCAATGATCATTAGAGTTTTAAAGGGTGGAAAACTGTCAGGACAACTTTTGGTCACTTATTAAGGGTTTTGGTGCAACATGTAAAGCTCAGTGTGGGACTCCCACTTCTCCTCCTGCACCAGGTAAGCTGATGCAGTTTGCCTGGGGGATGCTGCTGTCAAGATGACCTGTCAGTCAGACACATCTGTCATGTGACTGAAAAACTTTCCTTGACACCTGGGGATAAACACATCTTCCAAAACTTTTCTGTGTAAGGATTTACAGTTATCTTGACAAGTACCCTTTCATAAGTCCATTTTCTGTTTCTGCTTTCAGATAATTACTAAAGTATTTCAAAATGCAGACTGTTAAGAACAAATTGAAGGTGTGTCCTCTTCCCTGTACAAACCCAGAAACCTTTCCCAGGTAAGCTGAAATCAAGTTACTTCTCACAACACTTACGTGTGCAGGTTTTTAGGTCCTCATTGATGACAAATCCTTCAGAGCACTGACAGACATAGGAGCTATCAGTATTCAGGCACAGTTGCTCACAGCCATGATTGCTTTCCGCACAGTGGTCCACTCCTATTGATTTGTATTAATTGAAGAAATCACACTGGAGCCTTAGATACATACATTATGACACTAGATAGTACAAAGTGCCTTGGTAGAGCAAGGGAAAAATATCAGCACAGCTTTTTATTTCTGCAGTTCCCCCACCTATTTGAGTAACCTGAGTTAATTAACAACATCTAAGGGAAATGAACACAACAATCTCTTGGCAGATAATGAACCTGATGAAGTACAGATCTCCCTTGCCAAAAACCACAGAAGGAATCTAATGTGGAGAACCTTAAGTCCTGCCTGTTCTTACCTGCAGAATCATGCTTTCTTTCTCTCAAAAGCAAGACTCTCTTTTGTTGACCATAACATTTTCTCAGAAAGTACGAATATTAGTAACTCTTGAAATAGGAATTATGGCTTTTAGATTATTTCATAAACAGTAAATTCTTTTTCAACAGGATGAGAAATCATCAATTTAAAGCTTTAACCTGCCAACAGGTTCAAGCAGTTAAAGCTTAGTGGGGGACAGATACAAACGAGAGTGTCTCAATATGTTCCTTTCCTTGATTTTCCTATTCCTATTCCAAGATAAAATGGAATTTATTTTTTTTATTTTATTTTTTTGTCTTGTATGCAACTGGTTGTGTGATAGGGTAGGGGAAAACAGAGAGAGACATGAACTGGAATTAAGAATTATGTTGTCTCACAGAATGGACAGCAAAGCAGTAGTGTGAGGTACGTGCACTTGCAGATGTACTGTGTAATCTGCTGACTCTGTAAGTGCAGAAAAAGCATATATTAGGAAAAAAACTTTATACTGAACTTCCTCATAGTATTTTATTGCCAACTTGCTAATGGCTATTTTCAGTTATATAGGCCAAAATCACTCTAGCTGAACTTGATCAAAAGTAGTGGAGGTCCCTCAGACACAAACACAGTCTTGTATGTCTCTGTTTGCAAATCATTTACAGATGTGAACAGGCATGTCTGAAGCTTTTGCTTACATAAAAAAAAATAATCTGTACTTAATGTAAAATTACTTAATTCTAAATATCGCTATTTATTCGTTTATCTAACTAAGCAACGAGTTTGCAGTAATGGGTCCAGATTTACCATTATACATAGATAAAAGATATGTTGGCTTGAACAAGTGAAGCCATGGTGTCAGTTTTTACTAGGTAAAGCGAGTTCCAGCTGGAACATTCTCCTTTTTCCAAGAGTTTACATCATCATGAAGAGGCTTGTGTAACTTCTTACAGCCCAAAAAAAACGTGGAAAAAAACCATTTACTTCCCCTGCAGTATCTTCTGTGAAAAATTGCATCTGTTTGGCATCACCTTTTACAACACAAACACCCAAACTAATGTGAATTTCATCATTTGAATACTTTGGGTTCTCATGGAGAATCTTCTAACACACTTTTTCAAGGAGTAGTGTAATCACAAAGGTGCTAATTACCAGGCTTTAGAAACCAGTATACTGTAAATTTGATCATCATGTGTGCTTCATTACACGTGTCAAAAAAACACATGAGAAGGGAAAGGGACAGGGCAAAGTTCAGTATTTCTAAAAACAATGAGTGTCTTGGGGTATATTAATTTTTAGATATTCAACTTGTGATAGCCTGAAACCATAACCATTAAAAAGTTCAGAGTTCTTGCAGCACATCCACATTTCCCTAAATTTGGCTTTATCACAAACATTTTATTTAGAAATAATAACTCCCTGGCCTATCAACTTTTTTTTAATTTCAGTCATCAGTGTTCCTTTGGAAAAACATCTCATAAGTACAGCAGGGGAAAAGCTGGCAGTGTTTTAGACGATGTACAGAATGGTTCTCTGCAACAGAAGTATTTTCAATAAACTGGGTGATGTCAAGTGGGCAATGTCATTGGTTTTTTCTGGTGCAACACTGATCCTTTGTTTAGTAACATTCTTATTAGAAGAGGACATTTCACCAAACAGATGACTCAAAGCATAAACATATAGAAGGGGGAAGTCTCCACATCTTTCCACATATTAGCGTATATCTTTATCGGGTGTGCTGATGTTTACACAGCCCATAGCAATGGTGCAGATGTTCAACACTGTCTTTGCGTTAGACACCTTGGCTGAACACAGTCATTTGGATTGGAGAAGATGATGCTTTAGTTCTCTACTGGATCAGCGATCTCACTATAGCATTACTTCACTAGGCCTGGCTCATGGTGGACTTTACAGAAACATAGGCTTGCATAGCTCAGAAAGATCTCAAAAGGGACCCAGGAGTGTTTTCTCATTCTGTTCACACCTCATCCCACTGCAGTAACTCATTGCTGCAGTTCACAGGACACGCTCATTTCTGCATGTATTGCCATCATGTCATTGGGCATATCCAGGATGACACCTGCATACAAATGACTCTTCCATTTCAACCCATTCATGTTCACAGCCATACTGACTTAAAGCACAGAAGTTTACTTCTATGGAGAGAAAAAGAGTGAGGAATTCAAGCCGGCCATGAGGGTTTCTGAAGTAGAATGGCTTAGAAAAACTAAATTTTCTTAAACAATACTGGATTCTGTTCTTTGGACACCTGTTAAAGCTGATAGTGAGTTAAGGATCTGAGAGTGGATTGCAAACAATTGGCTACACAAGACTTCACTTTGACTCCCAGAGACCTGCTCCTGTAGTCATCAGAAGCCATGTATCATGGTGAAGGAGGAATGCTTGGTGCTAGTCACCAGTGATGCATTCTCCCTGATTTATAAAGAGGGCTTTAGCTTACCAGCTTATCTAACATGAGCCTTGTTATAATGATTTGGAATAGGAGCGTAATCCTGGAAATGTCACTAAGGTTAAGAATTCTGAAATGGGAATTATAATTTGCCTTTAGTTTGCAATTACATCCTTGGCAATGAATACTTTACACAATGCTGTTCTTTTTTTCCTGTGCTTACCAAGGCACATCCCATCTATAAGAACCTGAATGTATTAAGATAGCATTTAGATAATAAAAAACAGAATAGCATGGATTGCTGTAAAAACAGCACTGTGTAGACAAAGATGTTTCATGAGAACATGTCTTTGAAAGAAAATATAGCTCCAAAACCAGATTAATTTTATGAGCATCTAGAATATAATTATGTTGCTCCAGGCAAGCCTTTTATTCATAAAATATCAGCAACACATTTCTCCCCTCCAAGAACTGAGTCACCAGATCAGGCTAGTTCATCTTACTGAATATATTCTCCTTAAACCCTACATTGAAAATCTGCTGTGATTCAGGCCCCCACTCAAGAAGAGCTGTAACACAGAAGTCTTTTTAAAGTAAATAGTATGTGTGATTGGTTTAGAACCCTTATGTTGCTGAGGCTGTTTTTACAATTTTTTTAGTAAACTGTGGGGTTTCATGTGTGACATTCTGTTGATTTTAATAGCTACATTACACATGCAGTACTTTCCCAAGCTAATGAAATACATCTGTCCTTGGGTAAACCAACAGGGCAAAGCAAGGTAAATAATTTTTATTTTCTTTTTACAGCTGTTTGTGATACTTGTGACTACATGACAATGTCAGAAAGTTTCAAATAAGTAATGAACTTATTGGCTTTAAGCCACTCCTATGCTACTCACCAGGTTTTCATAAATCTTTTCAGAAAACATCTAATATACAATCTAGTCTACAAAACAGCAATAGTATATTTTTCCAGCTGGCTCAATTAAAATTCAAGTTTATAAAGAAACAGCTGTTTCAACTTTAATTATAGAGAAAACTTTCATTCCTTCAGAAGGGAAACCATTTACTGCAGGTTTAAGAAATGAAAGCAGATGAACTTCATGATGTCCAAAGAATTACTCACTTTTGCATGTTTTCTGATCTGGATTAAGTCTAAACCCTTCTTGGCACTGACAAAAATAGGAGTCATCTGTATTAACACATTCCTGTTCACAGCCATGGTCCTGAAGAGCACAATAGTCTGGTCCTAAATGAGGAAAACACTGTCAGTGATGAATACAATTCCTCAGAAATAATCTAGGTAAAAAAATCCAGTTACTATGCTTTATTTTCTTTAGCCTTTTTCCCCCCCCCAGGCACCATTCTGTCTTTTTGCTATATTGTTTCAAACTATAAAAATAAAATGTTTCTTTTTTCCAATTATCTGCTGTACTCAGATATACCTGCTATGTGTACTTCAATGAATTCTCCAAAAACACAAGTACTACATGCAGTAGATGTATTAGAATCTTAAATATTTCTTAACATTTTGCAGCTAAGTAAGTCCTATACATTGCCTCATCAAAATTGCATCTTCATTTTACGCAAAGCAAGTTAGATACTATCTGTAATAAATGCACAAATACGCATTTGAATGTTGCTCATCAAAACAGGATGATCAGGTCATCAGGAGCATTGGTGTTTTAACAGCTCTGTGTGCTGCTACACAATTTTTCCATTTAAAATGCTCATGAAAGGGAAGATCAGCAAAGTCCAGAAACAGCTCCCACTTGCGTATAAAGTACATTAAAAACGAAAATAATCATGCAGTAAGCACTGGGGTATTTATCACACAATGTTTACTACTATTGATGAAGTCAAAGAACCTAACATTCACTTACATGCAGTGTCTGGCCATCACTTAGTTTTATAGCAGTGGATATATATATCAGTTAAATTTATACTAGTGAAAGAATGGTCTTAACCCCTCATCACTGCTAAATATAGATAAATAAGTCACAAATCAAGTAAGTCCCATTTTTAAAGACATCCAGGCACTTCTGAACACCTCATTACACAACCTGAAAACTGACATTCAGAGGTTAATTATTATTTCCACAGGTAATTGGCATTCTGAGGCAGGAACTATTATTTCTTTGTGTGTGTGGCAGGCTAATGCAATTGAGCCTTTATATATGATGAAAGCCCTTAGCAGTAATAAGCCACTTGTATTTTCAGGACAAACAAAGTGGAATGTGACTTTCTAAGAAAACATGAGAGGAGTATTTTACCATTTATGAACTCCATGTTTTATATTTATAGAACATTTCCTTTACCAAACCTTTTTATGACAGCATATGTACATAGACACATACACAACAGGGATCTTACCCGTTCACTAAAAAACCAATTAATTAGAAAATATGGCTTGTTCAAGAGTGCACTGGAGAGACAGAAACCATAAAGCCATGTGTGTGCACCAGACGAATATAACTGTATGCCTTCTGGACCTTCTCAGTGCTGTGTGCAGTTAACCTGCCCAAATTCTTGCTAACTCAAGTGTGCAGGACACACTTTTCCTGGGTAACTGATTCTGAAGATGACCACAAGGAGTTGAAAAAAATATATTATTATCTTTGTTGGAACCTTGAGGCTATTATGCTGGGAACACTAAAAACACATTTCACGGGGCGTCATTGAGACAGTCCATTAAAGATGCTAACAGAAGGCCTTTCCAAAAGCTACAGGTGATGTGAACCTGCCCACAACTCAAACAGGGGCCTTCCCTAAAGAAGAACAGTTGAGGCTCAGCACCCCTAAGTACAAGCAGAAGCTAACATCTGTCCTCCTGAGGGGAGCAGCAAGAGTGGCAAAAGTCCCCTTAATAGTTAACATAGTAGCTGGGAATGATCTCTTCCTGCCTCACTGATAATCTGAAATTGCTCCTCTCTTCCAGCTACACACAGAGTACTCCACTGGTGTCTGCAGGGTTGCTCTCACGAACCTTGTTCCTTGTATTTTAATGTAAGAAGTTTGGAGTAATTCCCAGGGAAAACATCTGTCAGATATGCACGACCATACTGATAACTCTGACATTTTCAAGATTTTCTTTGTAGCCATAATCATGAAAGCTTACTTTCTATTTAAGAACGGAAAGCCAGGATGCTGAGATAATCTTGAGCTGGCACCCCAGACTCAGGACTGCTTGCTGATGCAGAGATCTGGTCTGGCATGGGCATGAGTCTTGGCTAATAGGCAATCATGCCTGAGATTCAGTATGTAAGCCAAACATAAGAAATTCATGTTAAAGGTTTTAAATTTACAAACATTTTAAATCCAGTGATCTGAAGTCTGTTTCTTCATGTTGTTTATGCTGACTCAGAGGCAGAGTGATTCACAACACATGGGAGCCAGAGGATTCTTTTGCTCTGAAGAGCTCTCATGCTGTCCTGACTTTCACAGAATTAAGATCTACACAGTTCCTTCATTCATGCTCTATTTTATTAGCAAGGCACAGAAGATATAAGGTGTAAGGAAAACTGGCTTATTAAATTTTATTTATGCTTAGATTCAAGACATGCATCTTGAAAGAGAATGATGTGACGTATCTCCCTGACTATTCCTTCAAATCAATCTCTATGGCCTACCATGCCCAGTCACTTTTAATTTTTTCTTCATTGTAACCTGATGGAATTTTCTCCCTTAACTTTAAACTTATTTAAAGCATTTACAAAAAAAACCAGATTTCAGTTAACATGGCAGTGATGCACAAAGCTGTGAGAAGCTTGTCTGTGCCCTCTGTCCCTTGGCTTGGTACCTGCTTTTAATGTCAGGCTCTCAACCTTGGTGCTTGCCTGAGCTATATTATAGGTATGCCTGTGCCTAGCCTTCCATTTTGCTGATCACAACCTGCTGACTGGCTAACTTGATCTTCTGAATTAACCTGAGACTTCTCTTGATGCTATGGACTTGTCTGGTGGTCAACTGCACTGCTGGCTGAGCCTGTTTACTGTCGCAGGGCCTGTTTTGTTCCTCTTCTTCAGAAACTATGAGACCAAAGGTCTTGCCAGAGAGATTACTGCCCCTGCTTGACTTGTAGCAATCCTTAGCTCCCATACAGCACTCCCTTGCAGAGCAGTGTACTTTTGTGTTCTATTTTAAAGATCTCCATTCCACAGAGATCCAAGATGAAACCACAGATGTGCCTGCTGAGAGTTTCTGGTCAAGATCAGAGGGGAAATGACAATGGGAATGTGGTGGTGAAATCTGTTACCCCAGCTTACCAAAAGGTGAGTACAAAGAGATAGCAGAAGGCTCCAACTCATAGGCTCTTGGTTTTTTGCCCAGTGATTGCTGGGTGGGTGCACAGTGGCAAGGAAGACCATGGTCAAGCTGGGAAGTCAGTCTGCAGGTCAGGTTCTGGATCAACAAGGGCTATTGCCAGGCTAGCTGGAGACTGCATGTGACATATCTGGTTCAGTTCTGGAACAAACCTTTCCCTTCTCCCTCCAGTTAAACGGAATAAACTGAAGAGGCCTCAACAGAGACCTACTGCTGGGACACAGTGCACCTGACTTATGCAGAGAACCTGAGGAATCTGATCTTAATGAGTTTGGTGGAAAGGAAGGTATCTAATTGTAGCCTACAATTACTTCTTGTATGTCATTACAAAGGTGATGGAGCTAAACCCATCGTCCTAGTGCCAGGTAATGTAACAATGAACAGTGGTCACCACTTGTGGCTTGGGTGATTACCGCTGGACATGAGGAAAATGTTTTCCATTAGAGGGATATTACAGCAGTGAAGAAGGTTGCCCAGAGAGGTTCTGGACTCTCCAGTGGAGATTTCTGAGACTCAACTAGACAAAGCCATAGCTGACTTGATCCCCAGTTTGTGGCAGTTCCACTTTGAAGAGGAAGCTAGAGTACATGACTTCTAGAGATCCTGCCCAACCAGCATTTGCAAGCTTTCGTATTTCCAACATAAAGATAGCAGCACTTGGTCAGACTGAGTTTATATAGCTCAATGTGCCATCTCAAGCAATAGATACCTAAGTCAGAGGACAAAGATAGGACAAGCATAAAATACTACCTTCTCAGCTAGTCTCTCAGCTTCCACCATTCAGTGCATCAGCAATTTAAAAAGGTTAAAACAATTCATACAGCTAGACCGTAAGCTAAAACCACTCAAGACATCTAAAATGTTTATGTAATTTTAAGATCTTTGTTCAGTTCAAACTGGTGGAGAAAACACTGTTTAAGATCCACATTCTTAAATTGGAGGAATTAACAAAAATTTGTGCTTGGGGAGTGGAAAGCACTTACACTATAGTAAGATTTCAAAAACACATGGATGTGGAAGTATATGAGAATTTATCCAGTCCTTAGCTGACAGACACTTGACAAATGAACAACTTCATGCAATCTACAAGCACCTTGAATCAGTACAAACTGTACTCTGGCCCTTGGGGAAGCATGAAATTCATATCCTCTGACTCGGACCGTCTAAAAATTAGGTGTCTAGTCTGGCAACTCATCAAGGCTCAATGATATGGATTAAATTCACCACTGGCCTCAGCAGTTCCGCTCACCCAAACTACTGGTATTTGTCTGCTTACAGACACAATAGTAACATTTCTTTATCATGGCCCATATTTATGAAGAAAGGTAACTAGGAAGGTGCATTACGGTTTTCCCTTCACATTTCCTGAAAGTGAGTTATGACATTAGACACAGTGGAGGCTTTAATTTGCGTTGCCAATTACAGGAAGCCTTGGCAAGAGTACTTTCTGGTCTGTCAGTTCCCCTCCACTTTATATTCACTCCTAACTCTGGTAATTTTTGAACATGTTAGCCTGGTATCAATCAAATTTGACAAACAACAGACAAGCTAAGTCATGAAGTTATTTACAACATGGTGGAAACATGGAAGCTTGGTAGAAGATACTGATGTTGCCAGAGCTTTAGCTCACTATCAAAAAACTCACTTTTGAGAAAAAAACATGGGAAAATAGGCTGCAGTGTTTGTGTTCTCTGATTGTGGAACTGTTCTATTTAATTTTAGCTTGTCTTAGAAACCAAGCTGATTATAAATTCCCTTGTACAGACTTGTTTACCCAGCTAGGGAGATGATATTCTAACTGAAAAGTCTGGATAATCAAAGAGACTATGCAAGACAAAGCTTTGGGCTTTCACTGTTGAAAAGGAGCCTGGTTTTATGTTAAAAACTTCCTCTTCATAGGAGGGACCCCTATCCTTAGCCTTCCCCATGCAAAAAAAGCCCTATTCCCTGTACTTGCAATGCTTTCGACCTTTGGCTTCCAGGGCACTCCAACATTTTGTATGCTTGACGCATTATTCATTTTTCCCAGGACCAGTGTGAGTGTTATAGCTGAGAACTGGAAGACAGAAGAAGTACAGACTGTTCATAATTAAACCTTATCACAACTTACTTCTGCAAGTTCTTCTGTCTGGATTTAAAATGAACCCTGGATGGCATCTACAGTAATAGGAGTCCTCAGTGTTAACACATTCATGTTGGCAACCTTGGTTATCCAAAGCACAGTAGTCTACAACTGAAAAAGAACAAGACCAACAGGTACAATTAGAAAAAGAAAATTAGAACTATTATGTATAGATATTACAATACATATTAGACACAGTACCTATAAAAAAAGGAAAACCTGGTATAATTTCTGTTCTGAAGAGCCTTTCTAGAAAAAAAGTGCACTTTCAATACCAATTGGTAAATCAGATTTGATATGAGTCCTGGACCACTTTTCCTATTCTTTGAACATTTATCAACTCCCGGATTATCAGGAGCCTCCTCAATGTGTTTCCTCTGATCTAGAAACCATTCCTTAGTCAGTAACTTTGTCCAGATGTTCACACTGTAGACCAGGGCATAGCAAAATTTGATTGATTTAGTTTTGTCTTCTGTCTCTCCAGTCCCAGTCCTGGAATTACTCTACTTTTCCTCAGTTCCCTCTGGGCTGTATTACTTCTCAAGAGCTGTATAGCAGACCCATGGCAATACCTTCTACAAAGAGGATTATCACAGTACACTCATTTCCTCTAATACGCTCCAGATTCATCCTGTACAAAGCAGCTGCAGCTATGAAGCCTGAGAGCTTCAGGCGGATATTCGACACCGATATTTTGCTTATATAATGCCTTTTGTATGAGAGAAATAAAATATCATAGCTGGTCTGGTCACTTATTTCATAAGTCTGGTTACACAAACCTATATTTACAGGATATATTGTCAAAGGGTAATAAGGTAATACTTTTGAGTTTACTCAGTCAAGCCCATTAAAAAGTGCTAAAAAAATATAATCATTTAACTTCTTTAATTTCTTTGCAGGTTAAGCTGTTTCTTCACAAAGAAAGTCTGAGAATAAACTAGATTAGTCACAGTGCAGGTGTTCTGTCCCCAGAGAGCTGCCAAGGCCACATTAGGCAAGTTTAGCTGACTCTCTCCAGAAAACAGTAATGCACTCAGCTTCACACAGACATTTAATCAGACAGGTTCCCTTCTCTGCCAACTGAGTAATTTTGTCATTACTTTATACTGCTGAGCCTCCTGAATTGCTTTAAGAGGCAGTAATTTGTTTTAATGAGATGAGTTCCTTCTTCAGTAGCACTACCTTTGCAAACCATGACGTATACTCAGGTGTGCTAAGATATTCGGTCAAGGTCATCTCGTCATGAAAGCAGATAATCCATTTAGCTACTTTGAGAGAGCTTCTTTTAACCCCTTCGGAATATTTGTGTTGACTTAAGTCAAATTAGACCTCTTACGGGCTACTGTGTAAGACCATTTTCCTGGCAAGCGTCTTCCTGTTTCCAGACTGAAGAGCTTAATATAAAAACATATTTACTGAATATGTATTTCAAGGATATAATTTATCATACAATTACTCAGCTTTCCTCTTAAATTAATTCTGACCACATGCACATTTACAAGTGTTTTAAAAGACACATTAAGAAATAAGTAGGCCAAAGAATATATAATTTTTTCTATCTAGCACATAGCTGGGAAGCAGCCCATATGGATTGCTACATAGTCACCTCCTCCTCTGCATTTAAACTCAAACAAAATGCATTTCTATCACAATACCTGCAACTGCCTGACAATGGTTATGAAGTTTAGACTAGAATAGACTAGACTAGCCTAGAACAGAATAGTTCCAGTTGGAACATCCAGTAGAATGATCATCTAGTCCAACTTCCTGATCAATTCAGGGCTGACCAAAAGCTAAAGCATGTCATTATAGGCATTGTCCAAATGCCTCTTAAACACTGACAGGCCTGGGGCATCGACCATCTCTCTAGAAAGCCTTTTCCAGTGTCTGACCACCCTCTTGGTAAAGAAGTGTTTCCTAATATCCCATCCCATGGCTCAGCTTTGAACCATTCCCCCATGTCCTACCACTGGACACCACGCAGAATAGCTCAGCACCTCCCTCTTCACTTCCCCTCCTCAGGAAGTTGTGGAGAGCAATGAGGTCACCCCTCAGCCTCCTTTTCTCCAAAACTAGACAAGCCCAAAGTCCGTAGCTGCTTCATCCAGCCTTTTCACCAGCTTTGCTGTTTGAAAGAGGTCCTAGAATACTTTACCCATCCCATTCAAGGCCAGGTTGGACAGAGCCTTAAGTTACATGGTTTAGTGCGAAATGTCCCTGACCAAGGCAGGGGAGTTGGAACTAGATGATCTTAAGGTCCTTTCCAACCCTAACTGTTCTATGATTCTATGATTATTACTATCTGAGCAACTATGACCCTAAGCACTTTCAGATTACAGTTTCTGAAGGGAGGAACTGTGCCTTCTTATGGCTATGCAGCTGCTAATGTACTGTGGACAGAAAGGGGAGGAAAAAAAAAACCCCAAACCCAACAACAAAACAGGTAACTAATTTTTCCAGGCTTTCTTTTATTCCATTTATAGCCTTCAGGGGACCTCTTATACACAAAAGTAGATCTGTTGGCCTGTAAGACTAACGAGTGTAGCAATTTAAATAATGCCTTTCCAGTAACACAATTAAGAAGTGAGAACATTAGCTTGACAGTTGCTTTTGGAACTAAGTATTATTCCCTCTTTCAGTAATTTCTGTATACAAATTGCCCCATTTTCAGACAGGGTCAGCCTTGCAAACTGGCACTATCAATCGACCTACATATTCATTTCCCTTTTAGCTTCATATTTCATTTCTGCGGTACTTGCTTAGAAGGGAAACTTGTCAACAGCATTCCATTCAGCAAGTAGGTAAGTTGTCCATGGAGTTAAATCTTCCTGAAAAGACTGAGAAAAATTATAAATCTGTATTTCTTATATTGAAGTACTGTAATCCTTTAGTTGGTATGAACAAAAATACACACAGTTTCTATAAAAGCAGAATAATATTTTCCTAATTGATTTAAGTTTCATTATTTTCATATTTCTGCACTGAGTGATGAGACATACACTAGAATGAACATCTAGAGATCTCACTTTTAATGTTAGTCCATACCTATTTCAATATGAAACTTTTCTAAAGGATGAATTAATGACTTTTTTAGTGAGCAAGCAATTAATTCAGTTGTCATCTCCCCATGTTTCTTCCACCTTGTTTTTCTTAAGTGATGAGAGCCATCTTTTACTTCCAGTTACCAGTTCTGCATTCCAGGTGCTTACATTGCCCTCTCTGGACTGCGGACAGCATGAGTCACCTTTCTCTTGCATTGCTGTTTTACTCCTGTGATATTTATACAGGTTATTCAGGCTTAGGAGAATGAAGTAAGTTAAGGAGAAGGGTAGAAGAAAAGGTTAGGAAGAAAAGGTGACAGAATAAGTAAAGGCATAAGGAAGATGAAAAAGAACGTGGGGGAAGAGTAGAGCAGACTCATGGAAGACTTTTAAGAACTTAGAAAGCAGCCAAAAAAACTCTAGTGGTGCCAGGACTGCAGAGAGTTGCCAACACCCTGTTAGGAGAGTAGATCCAAAGCCCAACAGCTGCAGCAATATGGAGAGAGTCTAGCACCAGTGCCAGGGAACAGAGAACAGCATGTCCAGCAACACCGAGAAGGTAGAGAGACAGTATCCAGTATTATGATTGAGAAAGAATGGCTTATTAGCACCAAACTTTAACTGGCAGGATTTTGTTCATGTGGAAGGAGGGCAGTTAAAATGAAAAGCTGTTTAAAAAGGCAAAGATCTCTGCCAGCCGTACTTATCACTGCACAGACAGTTTAGAACATTGTTTAGCTTACAAATACTTTCCCGAAATCTAGCATGGGATGAAAAGCTCACGAGAAGGCTAATGGACTAGTCAAAAAGATAATACCAAAAGTATTTACTGTGTATAAATGGAGAAGAAATGTGAGATACTGATACACTAATAGAGAAGGAAGTATGTTTTTTGTTAAACAATTATTATAACGTATTTCCACACTCACTCTTTTGAGTTGTATTTCTTAGAGCTGATGTTTGCTTCTTTACTGTCTATAGCAAAAATGAAAGGCACATAGCAGATGGCTTCTTAAGGGGGGCTAAATTTTCCTTAAAGCATCTTCCCAAAAAGAGTTTAAAATCTCTCCTGGCATGACAACAAAACCGAGTAGGAAATGGCAAGAAATTGTCTGCTTTCAAGTTTTTCCATGTAAGATTTCTGTCTGAAAGGGAGTTACCAAGTTTGTCTGGCTTTGTTCAGTTTTTAATGGCCACATATATCATGCCAGTACATTGCTGGCCACCTACATGGATCTAGGATAAAACATCTGGTGTGTTATTTCAAAACACCGATGTTACTTTCTGTGTGAAATTAGCTGAAACTATTTTCCCAAGCCACCATTCATTATCAGTAAAGGCCTACAAACATGCTAGTATGTATTCATCCTTATCTACTGCTCACAGAGAGGAGAGCTTCCCATCAATGTCTGTGGCTAAATTGGATATTAATTTACATTGAATTTCCCTTTGGTTTGTGTCGAGATAAATGTGAATTGTTAAACTCATACTCACCAATACAATTCTTTCCATCTGCATCAAGCTCATACCCTTCATAACACTGACAGACGTAAGACCCAGGTGTGTTCACACAAATCTGCTCACAGGCATGTTTCTCCACAGCACAAAGGTCCTGAGCTACAAAACATAATTGCATGAGTATGAGATTCTTTGACTTTCTACAACATACAGGCAGACTATAAATCAAAGCTAAATTTCAGGAAGCTATGAACAGCTCTTTAGATATGAGCTCATTTCAACACAGAACATGCCAATGTTCCGTCACACAGTGAAAGCCTCACGCCAGCAGGAACAATCACTCCCAGCTGAGGAGCTCATTCCTTCAGCTGAAGGCACAACTATTGTTGGGCCAGTGGTGCCTAGCAGAGTTGCTTGACTGTATGTCTCTCTAAAAGTCTGAAGGGCATTCTTCAGGGCTTTTTGGGAAAAAAATAATTGTGTTTAATTGTACCGTTTAGGGGTTTTTTTTTCTGTTTTTGCATAACCCTCCTAGAGAAATGATGACAAGGTTGGAAAGGAAAAGACAACAAAAAACTGGGAGCTATTTCATTTCTGAGTTTTACAATTTTTCAATTTTCTCTAAAATACCATAGCAAGTTACCCCTCCCAAGCAAAAGATCTCATTAGAAAAATTACTATAACAAATGAGGTCAGTTCAGCATCTGGCTGAATGAAGCACATTGGGCTTTCATTTCAGTAGACTAAAGCTTTCTGAGAACTCTGAGTTTCCCCAGTGAAATCTTTGGAAAACAGAGTACTTTGCGTTGCTCAGAATCAAGACTGCTCAACACATAGTGGTCATTTACAGTTACGAAAAGGCTTTTGGATCATGTTTGAGGAAACTAGCCAAGCAAATGTGAATTTTCTTTTATAGCTGTCTGCTTCGTATCAAGCAGCATGATGAACAGCATAAACAGTCGTTTAACTCTCTTGTTCCAGTATAAACACCCACAAGAAGGTAATTTTTCAGCTTGGTTCAGCTCCATTTCCTCTTTTGTACTGTTTTGTGTATTAATGTAAGATTTGAACATCTCTAGAGAAGAATGAAAGAGATAAGTTAAACAAACACAGTGTAATGAGTAAAGAATAGCCATTATCTGACACAAACACTCTTTTCTAGAAAAGTTAGACCAGAGTATGTGAAAGGAGCATCCTCCTCATGGATGCAAAAGCATCTTATTGAAATAAATGTAAGAATGTTTCAACAAATCACAGATATGGTAGGTTTTTTTCCTTCAATGCAAGAAGATTTTTTTTTAGAAATAAAACATATCAAGGAACAAAACTATCATCTGTTCAAAAGAGAAATGTACCCTTTTCCAGCCTGAAACTAAGTTGTCAATTCTTTGCTGATTGAAGCCATTTGGTTAAGGGTTTTTAAGAACTGAATACTATGGTGTACTCTCACAACATTAAAAACAAGAGAACAGAAGAACGAAAACAGAGTATAACTTTAAGTACTTTCCATTTATCTTTTCTGCACTGTTTAATTTAGAAAGTGTTAAAATACATATGTAAAGAAACTATTTGCTCATGAAAGAGCTACAAACACATCCAAACCTTAGATAAATACATCCTGTTTATGTTGATCATGTATTGCACTGAAGTTAAACATGAAGATTTACTTTACTCAGAGGTCAAGTGAAGAACATGTCCCTGTGCACTTGTTGACAACCAGCAGTCAGTGAGAGTAACTAAAATGGCCACAGATTGTGATGGTTCTGCTCACCATGCTTCTCCTTAACTCCAGAAATAAGCTGATCAGTTTGTCCAGGCTTGGTCCCCTTTCCTCATGAATTCCTTTACTCCTCTGGGGAGTTTTTAGACACAAAGTTGTGACCTTGTCCAGACTGGTATTGTGTAATCTCCGTCTTTCACCAGCAATTTGCACCATCCTAGCACATTTAAGGCCAGTTTGATGGCTCTCAATATTAGATTTCCAGTGCTAACTGCTAAAATTGTTTCATAGTTTGGTAATGTAGAAAGAAGTCCATTAGAAGTAGGCTACAAACACACTGAATGATTCATTTCCCTTTCACATTTAGCAAACTGCAATCTAGTATCATCTGTTTGGTGATCAAAGCAAGAACACAGTCAAACACATCGTGTGACAGGTAAGTGGGGAAAAATAGTCATAGCTAAAAAAATAAGTAAAGCAATGCAGCAATGGGCTTTGAAAAATAGTAGAGAGAAATGAGATTGAGGTCTACTGTGCACTTGTGCTACTGTGTCACCGGGAGGAAAACTACACACTATTCCAAAACTCTTCAAAATTAACCTGTAATTTAAAGCAGTGCAGTACCCAAAAGCTGGCTGATAAAAACTATGAAAATGTAACACAACAAAAAAGGTGACACAACAGAGAAGGAATTTTTCATACATGTAATTAAATTTATTTCTAATTGACTCACACAAAAGAATTCAATAGTCAAAATTGATGTTAGGCATAAGGATAGGGACAATGTGTGAGATGAAAAATTTTGAATTTAAAATAATCTGTAGAAAGTCAAAAGCAAAAGAATTCCTTCTAACAAATTCTTTAATAAACTCAATAGCATGAGGAGACTTTAAAAGAAAGATTCAAAGAATATAAAATTTTAAAATTAAAAGCATTTTAAGAAGGACAATATGAAAAGAACAAGTTAGAGAACATTACTGAAATGTGATTACATAGTTGGAGCCATCATTTGGGATTCTGACCACCCTCTTTCTGAAAAGCTATAGCAAATATGCAGAAGCAGAGAAAATTGGCTGTGTGAAAAATTGTTCTTGTCACTATTCTTGTCTTGGCTCAGCTGCTAAACTAAATAATAATTAGGAAATATTCCAGATTGGATTGAAATCTTTTGTGTCTTTTTGAGGGGGGAAAAAAAACCCAAAGCCAAAACACCATGAAGAAAATGTTAAATTTGTTCCACTTAACATGAAACATTCCCCTGTAACTTACACACATGCATATGATAAATGCCTACGTTTGGTGAAGGATGCTGGTGAGAAGGACTAGAAAGTAAAGATTCCTAAAAGTAACTCATCCTGTAGCGTGACAACATAGGTGTCCCACTGCACATGTAAGGACTCTAATCCCCAAGTTGCAGATTCACCTCAGATACTGACATACTCACTGTTTCAGTGGTCATTAAGCATCTGATATAGAATACAACATTAAGCAAGAGAGAGTAAGAACCTGCTAATCCCAAGATACCTGATTGTTTTACAGCACTCTCCTGAGGTGTGGAACATGCAAGTTCAAGCACAAGGATAGGATTTGAGACTTAATCCTTCACCTTCACTCTAAATTATCAGTTGTGAGTACATCCTATGCTCTCACCATGACTGTCTCCTCCAGTTTTTTGAAAAGATGTTTTCCAAAATTTTTCTTCTGGCTAAAATCAGTTTGGCAAATTTAACTTGAATCCATCCACTGTCATGGGATAAGAAACTGCATTTTTAGCAAGTACATTTTCCACAAGAAATTAAATATAGTATTACATTATTTCTTTAAAATAATGGTGGATATAGAAATAAATACCCATCTAATGTAGTCTGCTGTTAATTACTAGGAAGCAAGTTAAAATGGACAAAAGAAATACTGCTTACAAAGATCAAAGAGTGAAAACCAGTTTATTATTATAAACTATAAAGCTAATTATTTAAAACTGAAAAAAAATCAACCCTTTTAAAGAAGGAAATGAGAGCATAAACAAGACTTTTGAAACTATTCTTTGAACTGTTGCAAGCAGCAGTTAGGAAGAGCTTGTCTGAATGGCAAATTATTTCACAGTTCTCTAATATGGGGTTTATTGCACCTTTCTGTACTACTTAGTACTGGCTGCTATCTAGACAAGTTACTGAAGTAGTTGGATTCACCTCACGTGAGATGATAAAACAGTTTTGTCTTTGATTGTTGCTTCACTGTTGAACTTACTACACCAATAAAATTCAAACGCAATTGTATCTAGTTACAGCGTATCTCTGCAGAGCTGTTTATAAAAATTAGCTTGATGCATTTCAGAAAGATTTGTAAGAACTTCCATTATCCAAAACAAGAAAAAGAATTATAACTTCCCCTTTTTAGACTCTTTCTTATAATTACTATCAATTATATCTGAGCTCAGTCCTTAAAGGGTATGTGATATTAAGCACTTTTTTAGAGCACGAAAGAGAAAAGTTAAGAAAGATAACATACTGCTGCAAGTCTTCTGGTCAGCATTCAGAATGTATCCTTGTTTACATCTGCATAGGTAGGAGCCTGGGGTGTTTATACAGAAGTGATCACACTGATGTTCAACTATACTGCACATATGGGGCACTGAAAGAGAAAAAGTAAAATGTTATTAACTGCTGGTCTTACTTGTGGTCACAACTAAAATAAATAAAAAGTATAGAAGATTTTACTGAAGCAATTCATAAGCTTCAAAGTAAGAGTTGACAGTAAAGACAAAAATGGAAGCTTAAGCCTATAAGATTATTAAAAAATCCTTAATAAACAGTACTATGAATTTATTCCTAAAAAAAAAAATAAATCTAGGAATATTTTCTGTCTGGTTGACATTGGTGACATGTTTTTGGACATGAAATTTCATGTGAAATGGGGATATAAACAGAATTAAAATACACAGTACAGTATCTGGAAACAGTAATTACTTGCTGGTCCCAAGAAGAAAAACTTAGAAAATATTCAAACTTAGAAAATAAGTAGAATTTAAGTACAAACTGTTCTAGTGGACATTCAAGATCTCGAATGAAGAAAATCATCACACAGCACAATACCGAAGAAGAATGACTAGAAAACAACTTGATGACGAATCATCAAACTACTTGCTTAATTATTAATACCGAGAAACATACAAGCAATATATGACAACACCAAGGTCATGCGCCTCCAAGCTCCAGTAAATGGGAGCTGAGCTGAGCTGCACTCTAGAGTCTAATTTTAATGTTTGTATTTTTTGTCTCTAACAGCAAGTAGTAAAAAGCAACAGATTGAGACAGTAAAAAAGGAAAAGAATAGTGGGCTCATTCTGACAAATTCATTGCTGAACTATTTTCCTTCAGTATTTGGGATCTAAGAAATCTCCTTGATTATTTTCTTCCCACTGAAGCATTGCTGTAACAGAGGTGAATGACTTCCCAGGGCACATTTTGTGGAAAATCTATTTTCTCAACAACAATTAGGGATTGATATGCTCCTTATTCTACTAGGTCGACAAAGCTCAAAATTTATGGAATAGACATTAACAGTAATCTTCCAGGAGCCACAACAGAAGCCTGATAAATAACTTAACATGTGGTATGTGTGGTACTGTGGGGGGTGGGGGTGGGGGGAGAAGTGATTTTGAGATACATACCAAGTATCCGGTCTTTGGAATGGTAACCAGAGTTATGCATTTACACAAAACGAATACAAAACCCACCACAATTCCCAAATATTTTAATCAGCTTTTTGGATCTCATGATTTTCTGCCATAATAAAACTTCTCAAGTACTTTTATTTATGTGAATACAGACCTGCTTGGACTTCTCTTTTCATCTTTCTGCCATTCTGAAAATGAAGTTTATCAGAGGATATTCTCTAAACAGACATTTCCTCCTGGCTATATTGCACTGGCTTTCAACATCAGGTATGGCCTTTTATGACCAAAGAACCATTTTCAGATATGACAAATGAAAAATATATTCATTTCAGTAGTTCAAGCATCAGAATATCTCACCATAAACTAAAGCTATAGAATGTAAATCTGTAGAACATTACTGCAAAAACAGTCAGTCCTGCCATAACAAAAGAACATAAGGTTGCAAACCAGAGTACTAAAAAATGAGAAGGGAAAATAGAAGCATTCAATAATAGGCATCCTAATCACTCAGCCCCTTCTGAGAATGTAGTTACCATCTGTTACCAATTTTCTGATACGCTATCACATAAATTTTTTTCCAAAGTGTCTCTGTTGCACCCATTTAAAAGAATCAGTGGTACTCTGGTCATCAGTCCGTGCCATTTGTGCAACCTCGTTCGCTGCAGAACACAGCTGTGGACTGAAGTAATAGAAAGGATGATCCCATAGTTAAAAGAATTTGAATGTGAGCCTTGTGAATCAGATTTTATCCCTGCCTATGTCACAGGGTCCTTATTTGATTTTGAGCAAGCCAATAATATCAACATCTTCAAGCAAGCATAAACCTTCACAGATTCAGTGTGATTCATGTGTCCCGACAGATACACCTGTATCTGGGTTTGCAAGAATGCAGGGCGCTCTCAGCTGCAGTGGTGTTCCTCCAATGTAAAATGGGGATGACACCACTATCTACAGGAGAATAATAGAGACTTTACATGCTCCTGACTGCTCCATCCCCATTTCTTTATCTTCTTTCTAGTTTTCCACACTCATCTTACTCCTCGTGCCTCTGATTTCCCAGGATAATGTTTGCTTCTCTTTTACCTCGCTGATCGGTAACTAAGAGAGGCTGCTGGGATCCCGTGGGTTCAACTGTCGTTTCTGACACCCCCAAACC